TGGTTAGTAGAAACTTCTTTTATCTCGTCGTTGTTGATTATTTCTAGCTCTTCTTTTATTTCGTCATCATATTTATCATAAACTGATTCTAATTTTTCTCAATCCACTTAATCTTCTTTATCTATTAAGGAAATAATTCTTTGATTCGAATAATCAGAAGCAATATGCCTAAATCCTTGGCATTTGAAGCACTTTTTATTAACATTAGAAGCACGAGTAGTCCCTTTATCATTACTGCTTGTAGTTTTGGAAGAGTTTACCTTTGGAGGCAGAATAGTTGTTGAACTTGGACTTTCATGGTTTGAGATAGATTTTTGTTGTCTAGATGAACTCATTAAGCTTTTCTGTGATTGTTGTCTTTCAACCTTTAATGCTAATCTGATGACATCATTTAAGTTTCAATATGCTTGTAGTTGAACAACATCTGCAATTTCAACATTGAAGCCCCTAAGATAACGAGCTACAGTTTGTGCTTCAAGTTCATGGACATCGCACTTCATATGAAGTTGTTCGAACTCCATTGTATATTCTTCTACCGACATTGTTTTTTGCCTCAAGTTATGAAATTTGATAAAAATTTCTTGTCGATAATGCTCAGGAAAGAACTTATACTTGAGTTCTCAACTCATATTATCCCATGTTCTGATCTTGTTGCGGTCTTCTCTTTCTTGTTACTTTTTAAGATTTTCTTACTAGATAGAAGAGTGCTTTTTCAATTTAATTGCCACAAGCTTCACACGTTTTTCATTGGGAATATCTTTGAGCTCGAAAACTCCTTTTATTGTGTAAAGTTAGTCAAAGAAATCATCGAGATTAACTTTTCCTTCAAACTCAGGAATGTCGACTTTAATTCCTAAATCTTTGGTAGCAGCAGTTCTCAGGTGACGAATAGGTACTTCTTCATCAGAGGATGAATTTTGATGAAATGGGTTGGTGTCATTCTCTTCATCACTAGAGTTGCTATTGTTGATTTAAGCATCACGTTTAGCTAGTTGCTCTTGTAATTCTTAAATTTGTTGATGTAGTTCTGCAATCTCGATCTCGTGATTATCTCTTTGACGATTTTGATGTCTTGGGGGCATTTTATTGTATGGTGATGACAATGTGGTAATGTAGAAAAAAAATGATGATATAACTACAAAGCAATAAATAAAATTACCCGAACAAGGAGTATCGAAACTCGACAGCGAACATGAATTACGCAGCGAACAATGATCTTCCCACTCTGATACCAAACTGACATTGAGCCATTGTAAAGACACCTAGGTGTTATGAAAGACACCAATCATGGTGAGGTTAGAAAACTGCACTCAGATAAACCACCAATCTTGACAAGGTTAAAAAACCCCACTGAGGTGAATAATAGCTAATATCCCACTTTGGTTGGCTAAACCAAAGATATTAAAGCCTCTTACTCTTTAAAAAGAGTCTAGAGAAATAAGCATTCTTACTTAAGAAAATATTATTTATTAACTCTCAACTTGCATGTGAATAGTAACTAAGCTTAAAGGTCCTATTTATAGTGTTATAGGCCCACATCTTAATAAAACTCTACTTCTAGTTGTCTAATGCAATTAGAATAGTTAATAAGATATTTAAATAAAATAGATGTTCTATTCCTAAATAGAACATGACTAGCTTAAATTCTTAATAAAGTAAAAGAAGAATTCTATTATACTTATAATTCCTAAATCAACTAAAATTAGAAAAAACTGAATTAAATAAAATATAATCCTAGACGTTTCTGCATCAATTTCTCTTCTTCCTCTCTTAGGGTTTCAACTTTCTCAAGTAGTGCATAAGTGTCGCTAGTTTGCAGCATATCCATCTTGTTTATAGGCAAACAGATTAATCCTAACCCTAGTAAGGATTTGTTAAATTGCTTATGACAAAATTAAACTATTTCAATTAAGTGCTTAGAAGTCAATACCTTTTCAATTACCTTTAAAGTAATCCACAACTTTACATTGTTACTTATAATCCTTTAATGTGTGTGATCCATTAAATTCTTAATATGTTGAAAATAAATATAAACTACAATTCAAAACCATTAAGGATTAGATGAATCAAACAATTTGCATTCATCATCAAATCCCTAATTGATTAGTTCATATTTATAATTCAAAATTGATATCTAGTAATGTGTTATGATTATCCAAATATTATGAAAAGTCAAAGAGATTTGACTTAATCTTTCAATACTTCATCTTTCAGTGTAATTCAATCCTTTATCATCAAATATCTCTTGAAGATATAGAACATGGTGTAGTTTCTACTCTATATTATTTTTAGAGTATGATGCATTGTCTACTTTATAATTGTCTTTATGATTTTAATTCTTGAAGCTTGTTCTTACCTCTTTAATGAAATTTAAAAGACTTATTTTCTAAATCTTCATTCTACGTTGGTTAAGGATTTTCTTGAGTTAAGACACGCCAAAAGCAATGGGATATCTCCTTTGAAAACACTAAGGGTGATGCATTATTTATTGATTATTCATCTATATTCATGTGGTTTATGCTATACCCAATGCATACCTTATTTTACATCCTTGGTTAGGATTACTTAAGGTAATATCAAAGCATAACCATCCTCACATAAGATAACTTGATGACCTTAAGTCTAAGGATCACTTACATAAGTGACACATGATAATATTTTCATAGACACTTAAGTGAGACACAAAATAGAATTCTCATTGTGAGTCATGTTCAATGAACTTGTTCTTGGAACAAGTATCCACATGTTAGTTTCAAGTATCTTGACATTCTAATTTTATGAAATTCATGGCTTACTTCACAAGTAAAAAACACAATAAATCCTCTTTTTGGGCTTATATCAATGCCTTGTCTTAAAATATCGACTAGAAACTAATTAGGAGTAAGCCTTTGATGTAGTGAGGATTTCATAACTATAAGACATTATAATTCCCACACAAAGATATATTTTTTTCAATCGCAAAAGATTTTGTGTTAATAAGTGCAGATACAAACATGTCAGCTCCATAATCATCTATACAGAGAAGATAAGAAAATCAATATAGATGCTTAGAAAAAATCATCAATAGCAGAGCACATAAGCTAGGCAAAGAAAAGCATAGTCGAAATAGACAACAAATGAACTACTTGCAACTCAGCATATAAAGACAAACAGAAGTGAAATAACTCAAAAAGGCAAAGAAGTAAGATCAAAATAGAGCACTGAATAACAGAAGACATGGAAAAGATCATCAGAATAATTGACACCCACCTTAGCCAATCGATCAACAAGATTATTGGTAGATATTGGGATCTTAACAACAGAACAATCTTGGAATCTTTTCTTCATGCTGTTAATAAGATTCATGATATTCACTCCATGGAATTTATCTTATAGCAATTACCATATGAAAATGTGTAAACTTATATATAAAGAAAAGATTTTATTATTGCAAATGCGTAAAATCAACATCAATGTTTTCTAGACTACACGTCGATTGATTTGTACGACACATATCAACTTTATGAATTTCCCACTTACACTAAAGCTAATCAATAACTTATATTTATTTCCAATTGTCAAGTCGAGGTTGTTTTGTTAAATAGTAAACTACATATTTCTTATATAACAATAATTCACAAGCTTATATAAAAAAAGTAATTGACGTGAAGTAGAAAAAGAGATTTATCTATCTAATATAATGAGAGTGTTTAAACTGTAAACCATAGGTTTTATAAACTTTGTTGTAGAATAGATAAAGAACTCAAACATTTAAAAACCAAACTCCTGATGACCATTAAGAAATGAAAATGTGAGCGCAATTGTCAATGTCCAATTATCATCCTGTCACATTAAAGAGACTTTCTGATACAAATTAGACTGATTGAAGATCACATTTCCTCTAGACACTCAAAAAAGTGTAAATAGTTTATTTTGGTCACTACTTTTTAAAAATTATTTTACAACGTAGTACTATATAAAGAATGATGAGAATAATTGGAATAAGTGAAGCTCTACTTTGCGTATAACAACTAGAGCAAGTGAAACACTGTTTCACGATTAACAATTAGAGTAAGAGGAGCACTATTTACAGAATAACAAATCCAAGTGGAACAACTACTTCACATAGAATAACTACTTCTCACAGATAGTAACGAAAGCAACTTGAAATAAATGATAAAATTAAAAGGTTATTTTCATCTTGAGATGTTTTGGAGAGTTTGACTAGGTGGTTCAGATATGAAAGTAGTTAAGAGATCTTCCTCTTAACTTTTTCTTGAAGTTTATGTGTTTTCTCTTGTTACCTTGCTCTCTTACCTATTCACATACAAAAGAAAAAGGTGTATATGAATCAATACAAGAAAGCAAGGTAAGAAGAGGAAACACTTGTACTTCAAGAAAAGGTTAAGAGGAAAACCTCTTAACTACCACCATATTTAAGCTACGAAACCAAACTTTTTGATACATTCCAAGGTAAAAGTAACCTATAAACCTTGTCACTTATTTCAGATTGTTGTCACTGCTATCTGTGTGAAGTGGTTATTTTATGCGAAGTAGTTGTTCCACTTATATTAGTTGTTTCGCAAGTAGTGCTCTACTTGCTTTCGTTGTTCTATGTGAAGGAGTGTTTTGCTTGCTCTAATTGATCTGTGTAAAGTAGTGCTTCACTTGCTCTAATTGATCTAGTGAAGTAGACCTTCATTTGTTGTAGTTGTTCTCATCATTCTCTATATAGTACTATGTTGTCAAACAATTCTTAAAAAGTAGCAACCAAAATAAACTATCTATAATAATAAAAAATTAATGAAAGAGAAAGCACAAATATATATATATATATATATATATAACCGAAGAAATTGAAAGATTTGAAACGCTTTGTGCTTTTCTTCTTTTGTCTTGTTCAATATCATGCTTTAGGCATGAACTTGTCTTCCGGTGTAACTGCCTTGAAGTACATTCCTTTTGGGATAAGCATTATTGCAAATTTCATTATCTCCACAACGTATTGACACATATAGATTGCCGACCAGAACCTCAAATTTTGTACTTCTATGCTTTCAGTTTTTCTTTTGTATATATCCATTTACTTCTTTAGATCTGTTATAACTCTTTCCCGTTTCCTTTTTGGCTTTTCAAACAATTTGAAGCTTTAACAATTTTGAACAGGAGCAATATCCCATGTAGAATTTGGTTGCAAAGTGGAGTAACAATCAGTACATTTTTACCAAATACCATTTGTGGTGGCCGTACAAAATATGAAGAGTCGAGTCTCTGTTCATTGTAGAAGTGATTCACAGGGCGGCAAAGCTTCCTTTTCTTGGTCAAAAATCAGCTTGATTAGGCTTCTTTAAAGATTGTCCAAGACCTGCATGGAGATAATAGTAATGGGATGAGCAGGAATCGAATAGTGTGGTTGCTGTACATAGTTGATATCAGATCATGACACCCCCCGCAAATTAAGACCTGCCATACAAAAAAGTTTCTTCTTTTCCATAAAGTTTATGACCTTGAAATTTTTATCATCTTAATTCTTAATTATCTACTCTAGGTTTGTTTTGTTTCTCTTTAACAGTCATTGATATATCACCTTTGTTTATTTATTTTTCTATGCTAGAAAGGTACTGGTATCAGGTCAGGCAGTCTTTATTTTGGAAAAGCAATCAGGTAGTCTCTTTGAAAACGAGGAAATTTTCTTCTCTTTTTCTTCTTCATACTTCTTAAACTTTCCTTGAAGAAAATAATCCCTTATTTGATGCATATAAAGGATTTCAAGAGATGTGAGGTTGATGAATATATATTTGTATATGTGTATACATAATATTTAGTCACACAGGAGGATTTTTTATTTCTTTTAATATTAAAATGTGTAAACCACTAAGACGAAGTAAGGCTTCTTTAGGCAGATAACGAAATTTCGAACTTAGGCACACCATCTAAGAAAAATTTTATTTCTAGGGAATATAGACAGCTATTCATTGTTTTTTCCTTGTGAGATATTATACTTCTTCCATATCAATGAGTGCTTATGCCCCACATTTGGCTCCATCACAGTGAACTTCTCCCTCAATAAATACCCTTCTAGGAGGCGTGTGTCCTCCACAATTCTCCATCTTTCCTTCATTAATTGCCTTCATTTTCTTCACCATTCTCAATCCTTTTCTCATGGAGACCACCAATGGAACATCTTTCAATAACCAGAAGTTCACTATTCCGGTGGTGAATGATGTTGAGCAACAAACAAGCATGGAACTTGAAGCAAAAGACGACTTCAATTACTCAAAACGATCGCAATGGCTACGAGCTGCAGTCCTAGGAGCCAACGATGGACTTGTCTCCACTGCATCACTGATGATGGGTGTTGGTGCAGTAAAACAAGACATTAAGGCCATGATACTAACCGGTTTTGCAGGTCTGGTAGCCGGAGCTTGCAGCATGGCCATAGGTGAATTTGTTTCTGTGTACTCACAGTTAGATATTGAGCTGGCGAAGATGAAAAGGGACAAACAAAGAGGTGAAAATAGAGAAACAGAAGAAGAAGAAGCTGGAAAAGAAGGAGAAAAGGAGTCTTTACCAAACCCTTTGCAAGCAGCTGCAGCCTCGGCTCTTTCATTTTCAGTGGGGGCAATGGTGCCATTGCTAGCTGCATCTTTTATAAGGGAGTATAAGGTGAGGTTAGGTGTAGTGATTGGAGCAGTGACCTTGGCTTTGTTGGTGTTCGGATGGTTGGGGGCTGTGTTAGGGAAGGCTCCAACCGTGAGGTCTGCAGTTAGGGTGTTGGTTGGCGGGTGGCTGGCCATGGCTATCACCTTCGGCTTAACCAAGTTGATTGGATCAAGTGGGCTTTGAACATCCTTTTTCCATGCCTTTTGGTCAATGTGAGTCACAGAACTGTTACCATGTTGTTTCTGTCTGCTATATTTTCCTATGTTGATACTTCCCAGGACGCAATATGTGCATGGGAAGATGGGTTGCTCTATATATTGACAATATATTTAGAAAGGGTACTTAAGTAGAATTGTTCATGTAATATCTAAGTATCTCAATTTAACTTAAATAAGTATATAAATAACTTCTCTGTAAAATGATGATTTCGTGTAAATTTTAGATTAAACAAATTCCAGTGACGCTAAGTTGTGATTCCTTTCAATCTTTTTTCAGTTTTGTTTCTTCTATATATATGTACATAATTTTAAACTATACAACAGAGGTAATTCTTCTCATCTCAAGATTCAAATGAATTTTCAAGTTTGAACACCATTTCTTTGTAATTCAAGTGATGAAATTGCAAGTTAAACATAAAGTTGTAAAAATTATTTAATTTGAATCTAAAAAATTAAAAAAGTTTGGTCAAGTAGATCGGTCTTTAATTAGGAATAAAAGAGGAAAAGTAAGTTGTCTGAAAGACGCACGAACTCGTAAGAGACAAGCTTGTAAAGGGGGAGACGAGGCTTTTTCTGGGTGGATTCTTACGCAAGCTCTATCAGTTCAGCTGCTTTTATAGTGATGAAACTAATACGCGGATACTTTAGGTTCATTTATTGCCATGCCTTTTTCTGTCGTTTTCAATGTTGCGAGATAACATCAATCGCAGTTTATTAACCTGGCCTTTATTATAACAATGCCTCTATGGCGAGAAATTACAATTTTTTTTAATTTAACAATTAAACAGATTATATATATTTTTATCACCTGTCTTCATAAAACTTGTTTTCGAATAAAATTTTTAATTTAACAATTATACATATTAATCATGTTTTGATTACTTTTTATTCACTGTTTTTTATAATGTCATCGTACAAACTTGCTATGTGTCATTATAATTAAAAAAAATTAAAATTTTGTTCGGTTAATGTTTTCGTTTTTTACTTACTTTTGTTTTTTGCATCTCGTTATTTAGCTTTAATTTTTTCTTTTTGTCTTTTTAGTTTATTTTTTATAAATATATATAAAAAAACAGTAACCCATCAGAACTTAAAGAATTCGAACGAGCTCTTGTAATTTACTATCGACAATCGCCTGAGATATATAATTTACTTCCGTGAGAGATGGAAGTTGGACCATTCGCTTTTTGCACGTCACAGGATAAATTAAAGATTTCTAAAAAGAAGAAGAAAAAAAAGTAATAGCAGATGGATGGTAAGTGTCGGGTCGTTCACCTAGCTGGCATTAAAGGAAGCATACCACTAGAAAAAGAGTGCACCAAGAACTGAAAGGTCAAGATTCAAGAATTATAAGGTGCCCTTAATATAAGGAAGGATATCATGACAATATGAAGCATAACTGAATAATGTGCAGTCAAGCAGCGAAAGAGAAACTGACTATTTTTTTTGAAAGATAAAATTTGTTAATCAACTAGGAAAGAAATCTTTCCATGGGAATCAATACAAAACATGGATAGACCCCCAAACGGCAAAAAACAGAAGAAAGAAACGAAAAAAAAGACCCTGAATTATAAAAAGCAGGAAACAAAACTTTGGGAAACAAACCAAACAGTAACACATTCGGAAAGAAATCACAACAAAGCAGAAAGCCAAGACAGAGACCACTTAAAGATGAAAGAGGTTAATCAACCAAAGTAGCACTAACATCAATAGAACATCAGTACAGCAGGAACATATAGCCAAGGCCGCAGCAGCAGAGTCGAGAACACGACAAAAATAGAGGGTATTACTAATGAAAAGTTCCATCGGTAATACATAATATTCTGTCAGTATCATGCATCACCAACGGATTTGCTGATGAAAAATTCCATTAACACTTGATCAGAAAAAACGTCATTGGTAATGCAAAATCTATTGATAATGAAATTTTTTGCCTGTAAATTGCCGATTGAAATTTCCCTCGGCCGTTCTGTTGGAAAGGAGTTGGTTCCATTAGTAAAATGTTCATTGATATTAGTTGAAATTCTTTGATAAATTTTGTCGTTAATTACCAATGAAACAATATCTATCGGCAATTTCATCATTAATTACCAACAAAATTGAAATACTAAATCTTTAAAAGTATCATACAATTCGTCAAAAGTATATGAATTAAGTTCATAAGATGAAGAGATTACCTTTAGTTATTCATGAGCCATGAGGAATAATTCAATTTGATTTGAAGATTCATCTTCACTTGATTTCTTATTTGCATTTGTCTTGCTGCTTGTTGAGCATTGATTCCCATAAAGCTTGTCTTCCAATTCCTTTTTCTTCATTGTTTCTCCATATAACTCTTCTAATTTTTCTCAAATTTCTTTGGTTTTTTTGCACACGAACAATTTATTTTATTCTTTATAATCAAGTACACAAATGAAAGTGTGCATGGCCTTGGAGTTTATTTGTACTCTCCTCATTTCTGTCCACTTTCTTTTATCTTCAGGAGTTTTCTCACCATTTACCGAATTGGTATTCAGAGAATGAAGGGACCATTGGTAATGGCATTGCACATCTCATAGTCACAAGCCCTAACATAGATGGACATCCTAGTACTCCAAAACTGATAATTGGTTTTATCAAATAGAAGAAGCCTATTTGTGGATTGACCATCAGCATCATTAGAATTTTAAGTAGCCATTAGATTTTTCCCTTAAGATGTTAAGCCTTAAATTCAAAGGTTAGTCTTTGATACCATTTGTTGGTCCAGAAAAGAGTGCTAGATAGGGGGGGCAATGAATAGTATTTAAAACTATTTTTGAGGGTACTTTTTGAAATTTAAAATCTGTTTGGAAGATTTAAGATGGATGGTTTGAAAACTTATCAAGGTTTGCAAACACTAAGTAAAGAGATGTTAATAGAAGTGGACAAAACACAATTTTTATAATGGTTCAGTCTACTTGATCTACATCTTTTACCTTGATCTTCCTAATCAAGGATTTACAACCCACGTTCACTAAAACCAATGGAATTAATAACTTCTACCAATGTTTTACAAGGTGAGCTTCTGACCCAAGCTTAACCCTTTATGACAAGTCTTAAGCTTATCCTAGCTTAGACTAGCCCTCAGAATGTCTCACACACTTTAAGTAAACAAGAAATAGAAGATAAAAAGAGGTACAAATTATCACCTAGCTAATCTAAGTTGTATGAGCTTTAGCTCAAACATTTTCACAAAGATAGCAGTGGAATACAAGTGTAAAAGAAAAGGTTTTACTCTTTTTGGCTCTTTTTCTGTCCAGATAGCTTCTCTTTATCATTTTTGACTATTGAAGAGGCTTTAAATGCTTGAAAAATCACATGTGGCCATTGGAAATAGAAACTAACTGTTACAAAAAGTTTCTGTCCGTTAGTTTGTCCTTTTGTGCTAAAATTCAAATGTGCAAACAAGCTTTAACTAATTAATGACAAGCTTTAATCGATTAAGCCTTCTCTAACCTGCAAATTAATTTTTTATGGTAACTAATTAATGATAGTTTTAATTGATTAATAACTTTATGTTTTCAAACGCCTTTAAACACTGTTTTTCATCAATCATTCTTCAAGTGATTAGAACTTTTACTAGCTAATTGAGGCTTCTCTCCTTTCTCCATTAACTAATTAAAATGGGCTTCGATATTAAGAATTTTTCAACTTTGAATCTCTTGGTTTGGCACCTTGGATAGTCATTAATATTTTGAATTTGAATTTTGGTGCTTCTTGACACTTTAACTTTGACATTTAACCAGTTAACTTTGTTCTTTTAATCGACTAAAGGCTTCTGTTTTGCACTCTGGTAGCGCCCTGAATAGTCTTAATTGATTAAAGCCTCATGTTATCAATTAAAACTATTTTATCTCCATTGAGCTCTATCTTCTTTCTTGTTTAACTGATTAACTAATCTTGTCATTGAGCAAGCTTCTTGACTTGCTTTCAAACAACAAATAAGCTAAATAATTTAAGCTTTCTCTTGCATACTTCAATAATATAATTAGACACTAATGAATGAGAATGTTTTGTTATCATCAAAAACACATGGAGTCAATATTCTCTCTCTTTATTTTGATGATTAAAAAAAAACTCCTAGAATAAGAATGCAAAGTCTATGTTTATATTTTATATCTATATGCAGGCGAGGGATTACTCCCCCTTAATATATGCTTTCCCTTAATATGTGCACAAAAAACAATTTCAAGATTTTCCTTTAATCTTTAAATTAAACTTTAATGAATGAAGAATCATAAGCACTTATATAACTAAGGCATATAAGTTTATAAATATAGTTCAATAGCTTCAATAGTCAAGCTTGTAACTATGTAAGAATAAATGTATGAGAGTTAAATCATTTACTCAAATAATGTTTAAGTAAATTTGATCATCTTGTCATAATCAAAACTATTATAATTTTAAAGCTAACAATCTTCCCCTTTTCGATATGACAAAACTATGAGCATAATTTACATTTGAAATGATTTCAAAATCTCCCCCTCAATATATGCATATATTAAATTTGCTCATAAATCTTCTCTTTTTTTTAATAGATAATTTTATAAAAGTTTTGAGAGAGCTTTATAATAATTGAAGACTTTAGGTTAGAAATTCAACCCATTGGAATAAGTTAAGAGAAAGATATGATTTGGATGAAGTGTGAGGAATATTGTGATAATAGGCTTGCTTGAGTTGATTTTTATACAATTTTATTATTGTATTGATTTTTTAGTTTAAATTATTGCTAATTAGATTTAGTTAATTTATAATTTATTTAGTTACTTGATTTTGTTTGTTTAGATAAGATTGAGTCGTGTTAATTTTAGTACTTAGTGAAATTTTGATCAATTCTTTATGGCATCGATGCTCTTTTTGCCATTATATTATCTGTTCGATACGTATATTTGCATGGGTAGGTTATTGGATAATAATTACACAAGTAAGATAAGAAATGAAAGATTAAGTCAAACCATATGACTCCTCTATCATTTCAGTGGCCATGATGCTTTGTTAGAAGTCAATCTTGGTTTATAAGTATGACTAGCCAATTAGAGAATTGGTGATGAAGTCAAATTTGACTTTTTTCATGTAGTTCTTTAAGAGGTTTGAAATTCCAATTTATATTTATTGCCAACATGATGAGAAGCCTAATGGGTCACACACATAAGGTGACTATCAAGGATTAAATTGGGAATTAATCATATAAGATTTGATTAATGAAGTTGAAACACTGCAT